AGACTTCTTGTGAAGCTTATATCATATCTCTTAAAGATAACAATTCTTGATTGACAAAAAAAAGTGGTACTGTGGTACATTGCACTGATACACTTAAAATATTAGGAGGCGAATATGATTTCTAAACAAATGGTTACAATAAGATACCTACAAAGCATACCGTAAGAATCAACAAGTGGGACAGCATCAAATTTAAAAGCTCCTGCACACACAAGTAAATAATTAAAAGCATGAAGAAAGAATCTATGGAATGGGAGAAAATCTTTTGAAGGCTAATCCTCTGATGGAGAATTAATATTCAGAATATAAAAAGAACTCAAAAAACTTAAAACCAAAATAAATAAATAAATAACCAACCCACCCGATCAATAAGTAGGCAAAAGAGTTAAACACACTTTGTGAAAAAATAAACACAAATGACTAACATGAAAAAAATGTTCAATTTTCCCAGCAATCAGGGAAATTCAAATCAAAATTGCACTGAGATTTCTTCTCATTCCCGTCAGAATCAACAATATAGGCTCTCATCAACAATACAAATAACATGGGGAGAAAAGTAAACTCATACATTATTGGTAGGACTGCAAAATAATACAACTACTCTAGAAACAGTATGGAAATTCCTTAAAAAACTAAGAATGGAACTGCCATGTGATCCAACTATCCTACTCTTCAGTATTTACCCCAAAGAACTAAAATCCATATACTATAGTGATACAGCCATATCAATGTTTGTAACAGCACATTCCCATTAGCCAAGTTATGAAACCAGCCCATGTGCCCTTCAACAAATGAATGGATTAAGAAAAAATACACACACACACAATGGAGTTTTACTCAGCCATAAGGAAGAAAAAAAAATATGGCATTTGGGCTAGTAAATGGATGAAACTGGACAACATTATTCTGAGTGAAATAAGCCAGACTCAGAAAGTCACAAGTTTTGTCTTATATTTAGAAACTAGAGCAAACTAAGGAGAAAAAATAGGGAGTGAGTGGATAAAGGTAAATGAAAGACCAGTGGAGTTGAAGAAGATGAATGAAGGGGAGGGAGAAAAGACAGGAAAGGGGAGGAAAAGTGGAATGAATTTGACAAAATTACACTATGTGCATGCATAAATATACCACAGTGAATTCCACCTTTATGTATATCTATAAATCACAAATTAAAAATAAATAACTAAATGGAAGGAAGACCAGCAGAGTAGAGGAAGGAGAACAGAGGGAGGTAAGGGAAATACTGGGGACTGAAATAGAGCAGATTAAATTTCATTCATGTATGATTAAGTAAAAATGAACCAAACTATTATGTGTAACTATAATACACTAATAGAAGCATAAGTAAGAAAGTATAACTGCTTTGCTTATTGGTTTATGATTTGAAGGAAGGGTAATAAAGACTAACAAGAATGATGTAGCTTAAAGGACACTCTAGTTAGAAGTTTAGAGTCTTCAGTTCTACTCCAAGACTACATGGCAAATTGTTGAACAGAAGCCAACCATGAATTTTCATTTTTGCAATAGTTAGTTATTTTTTGCTCTAAGGTATAATGATTCTGTTTATTCTTACTGCTTTGATTAGCCCAGGAATCTCACACCATAACAAAGTGCCCCTGTATTACTTAACAGCGGCACTTACACCTGTTCATCAGAACTATGAACACCACTTGATGGTAGTATACGTTGTGTTGAAAGGACTGGGGGAAATTGGAGGACATGGAGAAGAAAGAAAGAGAGAATGGGTTCACTGACATTTTTGTGAACCCAGACCAGATCTAGTTATCCTGTCTCCTTTGCAGGCACTGAAAGTCTTTGTGTGCATCTCTAGCTCATGTATTGCATTTTCAATATTACTACTCCAGAGTACCTTTCAGAAGAAAAATACAATAGGATATGAAACACATTGAAATCAAATATTTCTAATTATGCTCAATTGAAATCACCTTCATACAGACTTCAGAGAGTAAATTTCCAGGATCATTAATTTCAGAAAGGCATCACACAATTTGTAGAAAAGGAATGGGTAAAAGTAAATCCATCTCAAAGGATAGGAAAGGCCCATGTACTCACAAACTGCGTACTAACAATTAACATTTGCCTTTGAAAAATCTGGTTTTCATTACCTTTAACTTTATTTCTTCATAATGCTCTAATATGATTATATGCGTAGACTATATACTATATTGTTTTACTCATGGATCACTATGCCTACCCTCTTTACTGATATTTCAGCAAAAAAATAAAAAATAAAAATCGGTCTCCTAGCAACATCTGTATTCAAAGGAACAACAAAAGCTTAATCACCAACACTTTATTTTCCCCCAAAGTTAATTCCTGTCTATCCAGGAAAGTTAGTGGGTGGCAAAGAAAATATGGCACAAAGAATCTCTCGGAGAAGCAGCCTCACTTGGCCTTTCTTTCCTGGGAATGGAAAGATAGGATGGTTATGGTTTGGAGCTAGACCAGTCTTCCCCAGTGGGAGCAGGCAGAGGTGTTTGATGCCAAATTGTGTGCTGTTTTGTCTGACCACCCCTTTTGAAGATGCAAACCTAATGGAAGGAACGTTTAAGGGGAAGCGAGGTTTCTGGGTTCCTAGCAACCCTCACACTAAGTATTGGTGAATTCGGTGAATACATGGGCGGATCCCCATCTCTGTGCTGTGTGTCTAAGCTCTAAATCCCTACCAATCAGCGGAGCTAATTTTTTAAAGGTTTATTGGCATTTACTCAATCAGCATCACAATTTCACTAGTATTATTGTTGCGCCCCAGGAAAGCATTATTTGAAAATTAAGCAGCTGGCTCTCCTCCAGAGAAACATGTCCCTGTGCCTCGCGTTCCTGAGACTTCCTGCCCAACTGCGACGTGAGATGGAAGTAACCTGACCGCTGTAGTAGAAGTCTAACAAGGAAAACAGTTTGGTTTAGAGGAAGTGGTTTTCATTTTACTGCCTGCGAAAAACCTTGGTTTTCAAGTTTAAAGCGGGTACACGAGTCATTTTAAGTCTCTAGATCCTTCACCCTGAAAGCCCCTGCACAGAAACTCCATGGGGAATCTAAATATAGGAACAGCGAACTCCCCCCGCCTTCAGTCGGGGTCCCCGCGCAGCTCTAGGATTGGAAAGCTCCTTGCAGAACGCGATCTGCATCTGCCCAGAATGGCAGGGCACGGAGCAATCTCTCTCGCACCTCCACAGTGCGTGGGTGTGAAGTGTATTAGGGGAAAGCAAGAGTGGCTCTGAGTGTTGGTGCCTGGCTCACAGTCACGTGGCACCGCTGCCAGCTGCACGGAGCTGGGAGCTAGTGCCTGCTGCTCAGAAGCTTGGGGGGAAAGCGAGGTCCTGAGGTGACCAGGAGCGATAAGAATAAAAAATAAAAACAAATCGTTTAAATGAAGCTATTACCAAAAGCAGAAAATAGTTGCCGCAGGCGTGGGTGTCTGTATCAGAGGGAGTTGGTAGAGTATTTATCTCGAGGAAGGGCGGGGATAGCTTAAGTAAGACTTTTGCCTTATTATTGGTTTAGATTTAAGGAAGGAAGTTACACGGAACAACCCACCTTGCAACTATCTGCCATGGTTGTGGTGGAAGCTTAGTTGGGCTTAACTTGGTGATTGTTTTCTTTCATATTTGAAAGGAAAGCTACTCTCTTGGAAGAAGTCCCCAAGCCTGTCATCCTTACGCTGAAGGCGATGTTTTATTACCGACACTGTTTTTGAAAGCCAGAGGAACTGTGGCCTCCCACTCCACCAAAAGCGTGGGTGTTGGGCCGCCCAGGTGCCAGAGGTGGTGGGAGACCCAACCGGTGGCTCCTCACTGCACGTCTCTAATCATGTAAAATACAGCATATGGGGGTAAGGTGGCGCGCCCTGGGCTCCCACTCTCTGGAACTCCTCTCCCAGACACTGGGGCCACTGTCGCCACTGCCGAGACTTAGCAGTTTTATGACTTTCTCGGATTAAAATGGAAATTTCTTGACGGAGGGAACTGAGTTCATTCTCCCAGCCTTGGCTGTCAGGCGGAGCCCCAGGCAACTCGCTCACCGCCGAGAAGCCACTTTGGGGTTTCACGCCCCCCCCCCCCCCTTCCACCCCACCCCCGGGATGGGAAGGATGTTCAGTTACTCGCGGGCATGCTGTCGGATGCTAGGATGGAAAGTCACAGCCTGCAGGCTGGAGTGAGCCTAGGGAAGTCGGGTCCCTGACTGGCGGACTAGGCAACAGTTTCTTTCGATTGTGCCCACTGAAATACCGAAGACTTGCTCCCTGCGCGGGAACCCAGGCGCCACTGCCCGGAGCGCTGCCCCATCTCCTCCAACGGGCTAGCTAGTACCTGGAGGGCAGGACAGGGCAGTTCCTGTTCACACCCCCTGAAGAAGGATGTCAGGACTTGGCACGGCGGCGGCTTAGCGGCGGGTGAGCGCAGCGACCTGCGTCTCCAGTTTCTCCACAGGGCACACGGCAGACTTAACCTTCCGGACAGCTCCAGATCCCTGGGGCGAACCAAATCAAACTCCTGCCCCGGAGATTGGCTCAGGAGGCCCGTTCTCCGTGGGGGGAGGGGGAAGACAGTCTGGGCGTGGGGAGTGGAAGGAGAGAAGAAAGGGGGAGCCTGCGGCCGGGTGTGCGCGCGTGGGAGCGCGCCTAGGAGCGCCCCTCACACCCCCGCTCCAGGCCTGGGGCCGCTTCGGGAAGGAGGGAGTGGTAGCCGCGGGAATGAGAGGGAGCAAGATAAACCCTCTCAAAGTGACGCCCCAAACACTTCGGATTTCGAATTCGAAGCTAAAGGCTGCTAGAAATTGAGACTCTTCGGCCTCCTCCGCACACCCCCCTCGGCCCCCGCCCCAAAGACCCGGTGGTTTGCTGGCTGCCTGCTTCCCGCCCCCGGCTCGGAGGTCTCTGGCACGCGGGCGCCCCGTCGGCCGCCGGCTTCCTCCTTCAAACCCGCCGGCGCACATGAGGCCACTGCCCCCGCCGCAGGCGCTGGCACCCCCCTCCCGGTGCCCGTGGTGATGCCATGCCCCGCCACCACGCGGGAGGAGAGGAGGGCGGCGCCGCCGGGCTCTGGGTGAAGAGCAGCGCGGCGGCGGCGGGCGGGGGGCGCCTGGGCAGCGGCATGAAGGATGTGGAGTCCGGCCGGGGCAGAGTGCTGCTGAACTCCGCGGCCGCCAGGGGCGACGGCCTGCTGCTGCTGGGCACCCGCGCGGCCGCGCTCGGCGGCGGCGGCGGCCTGAGGGAGAGCCGCCGGGGCAAGCAGGGGGCCCGGATGAGCCTGCTGGGGAAGCCGCTCTCCTACACTAGTAGCCAGAGCTGCCGGCGAAACGTCAAGTACCGGCGAGTGCAGAACTATCTCTACAACGTGCTGGAAAGACCCCGCGGCTGGGCGTTCATCTACCACGCATTCGTGTAAGTACCCGCGCCCCCCGCGCGCTCCCGCCACGCCTGCTCCGAGAAGCCCCTGCGCCTGGCCCCCTGCGGCGGGTTTGGCGCCCGCGCCCTGACCTGACGCGCGCGCACGCGTGTACACACACACACACACACACACACACTCTCGCGCGCGCGCGCACACGTGGTGGTTTTTATTTCTTTGCACGTGTTTGTGGTCTTCCTCCAGGAGCCTTCCACCTCCCGCAGCTCTACCTCTCCCACCTCCCAGTTTGAACCTTCTCCCCGAGGGCACCCAATGAAGTGCCCTGCAGCTTCAGGGAGGCATGGGGCGGGATCCTGGCGGATGCGTGACTTCAGCTTAAACAGTAATTGGGAGTAATTAGGTCCTGAGATACATAAACTTCAACTGAGCCAGGCGCCTAGGAGTTGGGATATGCACCGGGGGAACACGAGTCCGTGTGAGGCTTGAGAGTCTATGGGAGAGGTTAGGAGGTGATGGCAGGGTTGGACCGGGTTGAGAGAGGAGGCAGCGAGGGCTGGGTCCTAAGTCCTAGGGGCGGAGCAGGGGAAGCTGCTACTTGGAGAAAGCTGCTAGGTTTTAAGTGCGCCCGGAAACACGCCTTACCACCACCACAGCTACCACCAACGGAAAATCTGTCAGTGTGTGTAGCCCTTCTTGCCTCAGAGAAGGTGGTCAAGGCCTAGAAGAGGCTAGCGGCTAGCGGGCCGGGCGAAGCAACGCTCCCGCGCTGTGGCCAGGGCTGGTGGCGCGGGCGATGGGAGACCAGCGGCGCGGTAGTGGGGCCAAGGTGCTATTAGCTGAAGCGCAAATGAGCTGTCTTTGACCGGGATCAGGCTGTGGGTTAGGTCGGCGTGTAAGGCGCCAAGTCAAAGCCTGGGTTTTAAGTTAGCGTTTGCCATCTAACAGAGAATGCTTAATGAGAAAATGATTGGAAGCAAATGTTTATTTTTCCCTTAGGCATTTAAAACCTTTCAGTGGCTTTAAAGTTTACTACTGTTTTTCCCACAACGTCCGTCCATTCATTCAATCTCCTGTTAAGAGTTAGATTTATCTGGACATATTATGGTTGTTTTTATGCTTTCACACTCTAATACATTCCTTTTTTTCTTCTTTTTTAGTGTCCCGCCCCGATCCTTTATGTTAAAATGATATATAAACATGTCAGCCTTAGGAGACCCATAGGGAAAGTCGCAGGCACTCACTGATTTGTTCATTGTTTCCTAATAAAATATGTTTGGAATACACGAACTATGTTTCTTTTAGAATGAGGTGTGTTATCTGTCTATCTATCTATCTATCTATCTATCTATCTATCTATCTATCCCTCCCTCATCTGGGATGAAGCATTGGCACCAATATTGGAATTTCTTTTAATAATGTGGAAGAAGGGAATGGTTTTGTAAATAGGCGAACCAGAAATTTGACCACGTAGAAATCAGGAAATTGGTTGAGTCTACAATCTGTGGGGCCCCGGTGTCTGGAAAATTTTACAGTCCCAGACTGATATGAATGTGTAGGACTAGGTAGAATATTCCAGCCAACTTTCCATTTTACAAAATACACAAGGAGAATGTTGTGTTGCATCATTATTACATTAAAAGGTATAACATATTACTCACTAATTCACATTGATTTAGATGTGGATACTGTAATTAATGATAGACATAAAGAAACACTCCTGACACTTTACATGTTCATCACTTCTGGTTTGATATATAATTAATCCTATTATTTAACCAGCCTAGTAAATTAATTTGACGTGTCAAGATACACTAAAAAATTTTAGCAGCAATGATGCTCGATTTGGCAGCAAATATACACTGTATGGAAATTATTTTTTAACAATAGGCTCAAAATATTCATTGCTTTGAATTCTCAATATGATACATAGCATGTATAGCCTTTCAGTTTTGATAAATTATACACTATATAATTCAGAGAGGGTTAGAGACAACTTTGATGGGAGAACCTACTTTGTATCTCCTAAGCATTGTTCTCCAACATGTATGAGAATTTCTCATAGTGCAACATTTTCTGTTTAATATCCTGGTGCTTAACAAGTTTTTGTGGGCTTACAGAAATTTTACACATTTTGATGAATTATTTTTTAAAAGATTAAAAGTTGGACACTACTCATCAGGCTTTATCAGTCTAGCTGTGTCTTTAGTGGTAGGTAGGGAATAAATTGTTAATATGGTGTTGCTGATGTAAACTTTAGTGTTATACACCTCTAGAGACTGAAACTGTAATTTCTGAGCAGTTAGATAGGGGTGCTAGATACACATCAGCATACAAATAGAATGGATAGTGTCATATCCTGGGAGATTGTATGCAACTACAGCAGACCCTGAGGAAAAGAGGCCATCATTGGCAATTGCTGCTTATGAGTTTGAATGAGTTTTGAATAACTGGACTTTATACATATTAAATTAATAAAGCAAAGTTGCTTTGATCTGTAAGCCTAATAAGATCATTAATTATACAGGAAATTATAAGAAAATACTTTCTAGAGAGGTGTAACTAACTAATTCTTGCCAGCCTGGGAATCCCCAAATCTTACTTTAATAACAGTGTTTGTAGCATATTAAGGTTCCTGCCAAGAACAAGTGCATTGTGATTAATGAGGTACTTCAGGGATGAATTTACTTGGTAGATCAGTGTTTTCATTGCCAAGAAACAAGGGTATGTTTAAAGTTATGCTTCAGGTAAAGAAAATTTCTGTTAAATATACAAAAATCATCATTGTTATTATATTTTAATAGTATAGAGTATGGTTTCAGTAGTACATTCCTAGCCTACTGATTGCATGACCATAAAAGATGACTTAATTTAAATATTTTCTTTCAATCTATAAAGTAGTGGAGTGTAGGAGATGTGTACCCTTACTGCTGTTTACTGGTCAGCCATGTTTTCTATCTGTTCCTCGTAGTTGAGCTATTGAACTATGAGGTTCTTTCTTTGAATGTTGTTTGTCCCTTTTTAATTTCCCCCTTTAAAGGAAAGTTTTAGAAGAATAACTGTGGAGGCAGAGAAATACATGATGGGGTTCCCTATATAAATTTACATTGATACAGCAAAGGTGGTTCTGAGAAATTACACAGCAAACAATGTTGTACAGATATCTGACTCATCACTTTGTCAAATATATCTTTGACTGGTTTTATAACATGATAGTAATTGTGAGTAAAATAGAAGAAATAGTTCAGCTACCCAAGCTAGGCACCTGAAGTCATCATTTTTTCTCATATTTCCCATATTTGCTCTTGCTAGCCATCCAAATAGACATTAAATTCTGTTTCTTCACTAATATTTTTGAACATATTTTCCTCTTTCTCTTGCTATTTCTACTATTTCTTCCTGTTTTTCTAAACCTTTTTGTAATATTAATAATTTATAATATTCTCCTACCTAATCATTTGGCATCTGTTCATAGCTTGCTTTCCCTCTGATACCACAGTCTTAATTTTAAAATGCAAATCATATCATTGCCTTTCCTAAAATATTTCTGTGACCCTTGTTATTTACTTATTCATTAATCTATTTAAGCATCTATAAATTTTTGAATGTCTAATGGTGCTAATTCACAAATTATTGAGACAGAGGCCTCCACTCTCAAGGGAAAAATTTCACCATGGGGCGATTACAAACATGAGAACAAGTTTGAAACAGTATTACTGGTGCTGTTACAGAGGAGGCAGGTTAGAAAGATTTGTGGGTAAAATAGAAGTGTAGGAGAGAAAGAAGAAAGCTCAGCATAGTCAATGAAGGGGAAATGAGGCATGAGCCAAGTTTGTCCAAATTGAGTTGTTAATTTTCAAGTGGATAAATCAAGGGGGAAATGAGCAATCTTGGTGGAGAAGAGATATGGAATTGTGAACTAACATATTTACTTTTTAAAGTATGTGCAAGCTGAGGACAGCAGCAAGAAAAGAGGGTTTAGAGAAAGGCATGTATGTGACCTTTGATAGTCTCAGATGCTGTCCATAGAGTCTGGTTTTTATCCTATAGTCAGTACTGGTCAATGAATAGTAAAGAAAAGTTTACCATGGGAACAATCTAATTGAATATGAATTTTGGAAATACCTCCATTTTACCAGTTTGGAAACTGAACTGGAGGATTCAAAATGGAGTTGGTGTGGACTATAATTAGGTGGTAGCAGTTCTGAAATTTCCATTCATTCTTGCATTCTTTTATTCATAAATTTGTTCTTCAAATGTGTCTTGGCTCTCTAGTATGTGCAATGGACTGTTCTAGAAAAATGAGAGATGATTGCCTAAGAATTAAGGCAGTTAACTGTGAAAAAAAAGGTTTAATAAGAAAAATGTTAAAGATACAGAATTGGCAGATTGTTTTCACCAGTTTGATATGTGGTATGAGCAGGATGACTCTGACCTGGATTATTTAGGGAGTGGAAGTGTGCCCTTCACTAACATGAAAGGCAAATATTCATGAAAATAAGAGTTCACATTTGGGCATGACTTGAAGATATTTTTGTGTTATTCAGGTGGAGAGTATTAGTTGCAGGAACATAGCAATGAACTAATCTCTTTCCAGTGGGTCTTGGATCAGCAACCAAAACTATTCCTGCATAAAGGGTATGCAATAAAGATAATTTTGAATGAATGAATGCATTTAAAATTGGAGGTTAATCTAAATGCCTAATCACACATTTAGATTTGAAAGCCTGTAGCAGTTTCATGGTAATTAAAGCAAGGAGCAGAAAATATGAAATAATCCAGGAAATGCACTGGTGGAGGACAGTCTTGGGAACATTAACATCAAATAGTGAATGGAACAGTAAGACTCCAAAGAAAAACCTGGAAAACCCATGATAAAGCAACCCAAAGGCCAAGGAAAAAGCCAGGAGATCTTATCTTTCTAAAAATAATGGAAATTTTGGTTAACTTTTCATTGTAGTGGCCAAAATACCTTTCATAAACAACTTAAAGGAGAAAGACTTAGTTGGCTCATAGTTTCAGAGATTTCAGTCCATGG